TCAAGTAAGGAATGACTCCAGTGGAGGCTGCCTCCATTTCTAAGAATGAAGACAAGCACTAGGGATTTTGCTAAGAAAGTCATTCAAAATGGAACAATTTGCCATGGAAATATAGATGTGCTTAATGCCAGCACCGGACTCCAATTTGCTTTCTGCATACTGTGGCAGCTTTTTTTTTTTCTCAGTTTGCTGAAATTATAAAGGAAGAACAAAAATATGACAAGAGGTAACTGGCTGGCTACGAACCCATGAAAAAGCAGGACTTCCTCCAGAAGTCAGGGGGCTGGCTGAGCAATGGAGGAACCATGCAGAAAAATGCAGCTGCTTCCTCTCAAGCAATTTTACTGTAAAACATTCAGTGACAGCTTCTGTCCCAGACCACAGGCAGGTAGAGTTAATTACTTTCTTCATTTCCATAAAGGTCATAAACCAAAAAATAAGCATGACTACTGAGGCAGAAGTGTGATGGACTTTCAGTAAATACACAGAGAAAACACATCACATAAAGCATGCAAATGCCTGTTCGCCTTTTGGGAAGGATGCTTCTAGGAGGAAAATAATAATTTTTAACTGCTTAAAAGCCTTACTGCCTAATTCCCGATAAAACACAAACATATTGGCTTTTATCTGTATAACACCTGATTTCATGGCCAGGACAATTAGCCAATGGTGTTCCAGGATGCTATTGGCCAAAGACCCTTCTCTTTCATGTGGCACTTAGATGTCTGGGTCAGGCACCCCCAGGCCGGCCATTTGCAACTGAACTTCTGATTTAATTTCCAGAGGATAGATATTTGCCAGGCTACCCTTGAAATGATAAACTATCTCTTTTCTTAAGACTCTCAACAGTGCCATCAGTCTGATATTCTTCCTATAACCACAGACAAAATTAGAGGATGAGTTCTCATTTTTCTACTTATGTCTGTTAAAATGGCCAGAACACTTAGCATGATAGGGTCTGAAATAGAAAGGTATTAAACAAGTCAAGGAAAACTGGTTCCTTACAGTATTCTGATGCTGTGTTCCCTGAATCAATCAAGAGGGCATTGGCAAGGCCCTTGGCAGACAGGGCTTTGAGGAAGGCTCACCAGCTGGCCGCTCTCCTGTTCTGTCCAGGCTGGTGGGGGAGGCCACCAGGAGCTTCCTCTGATGTTCCTACATCAAAGGATTATAGATGGAATGAAGACCTTAGAAACCATCTCGTTCAATATCTTCCATTTATAGAAAATGGAGAGGAAAAATGACTGAGTCGGCACCTCCTGACTGGTGAGGGTGCATTCGGGTTGGCCCTGTGTCCTTACGCCCTGGCAATGCTGTTTTTACCTCTTGGTGACATGTGACAAAGCAGTCAATAATAACGAAATGTTATATGGCACTGCCCTTTCTTAAATGTACTTTTAAAATATAAAGCCACATTAAAAAAAAATCACAAAGAAAGCCGATTTTGAAAATCTCGGGAAGCTTCCACCCCCTCAGCCCAGTGATACTTAATGTTCTGAAGTTAGGACTGAGTAATCACCAGTCAAAACTATGGTTGTTTCAGGGGGGTGAGAGGCTGTAGGTTGGTCCTGCAGAGACTGGGCATGGGAGCCTAGCCGTGGTCACAGCTCAGGAACATCATCCGTCCTCTTTGCTCACAGGGACAATGTCACCATTGATGGCCCTGTTTCTTGTAAGCAACTCTTATCCATGCATGTTCCACAGACATTTCATTTCTGAATTCTGAATGTATCATGTCAAATTTCACATACACCGCTTTAAGTCACACATATTTTGACTGAGGGTGGAGAGGCAAAGAATGTAGTATTAGGCTGGGCACGGTGGCTCACGCCTGTAATCCCAGCACTTTGGGAGGCCGAGGCAGGCAGATTGCCTGAGCTCAGGAGTTTGAGACCAGCCTGGGCAATACGGTCAAACCCCATCTTTACTAAAATACAAAAAATTAGCCAGTTGTGGTGGTGTGCACCTGTAGTCCCAGCTACTCAGGAAGCTGAGGCAGGAGAATTGCAAGAACCTGGGAGGTGGAGGTTGCAGTGAGCTGAGATCACGCCACTGCACTCCAGCCTGGGCAACAGAGCAAGACTCTGTCTCAAAAAAAAAAAAAAAAAGAATGTAATATTAATATATCTTATAGCACTTTGCGTGTCTTACCTCCTTTAATCCTAACAGCAACCTAAGTTCACTTAATCCTAAGTGAACAGGGCAGGATTAACCAAGAATCTTTCCGATGTGAAAATCCATGGTGTTTTAAAAACGCACATTTCACAAACAGTCCATCTTAAATGACAGTTCCAGGGCCCAGGAATCATTCTGCCATTAAAAAGAATTCCTTGAAATAATTGCGGAGATTTCAAATACCGAGTATTTTTCAAATTCTTCAAAAGTAGAGGTAGGTACAGTATTAGAGATAAAAAATAATAATTATCAGGAGGTCTTATTTGGTGTTTCTATGTGTCAGGCAATGTTCTAAGTGCTTATTGGACATTAACTCATTTGATTATCCTAGCAATTCTGAGGCTCTGACGGAAATACTACTGTTCCTTCCATTTTAGAGATAGAGAAACTGAGCACAGAGAGGGTGAGTAATTTTTCCAACGTCACACAGTAAGCGGCAGAGCTGGGGTTCACATCAAGATGGTCTGCCTCTGAGACCCTGCGTTAGCCACTCTGCTGTGCTCTCTGTCCTAGCCCTCCCCAACCTGAAGACCACGAGTCAAATAATTTTTAGTAAGGCCGTTATAAAATGAAACACTGAAGATTGATATATTAAAATTTATCTGAAAATACATGCTTTTTTGATATGGAAAGTAAAATACAGTAACAAACAGCATGTGTTTTACAACCCTCAAGTTGCTGGAATAATCCTTGATCTCAATGAAAACCAAGCTAATGAACCTAAAAAATTTAAAATTTCTTTTCTTTTTTTTTTTTTTTTAAATCAGTCCTTGTAGCCAATTGAACTAATTCCTTCCCAGTCCCAGCGGGCTATACCAACTGGGAAAGCCTTTGATCAAACTGACATCAATACTATGGCTTTCGATAGGAGAGGCACAGACTTGCAAAGTTAGCAGGTTTTTCTTACTTTATAATTGAGGAAACTGAAGCTCAGAAGGGCCAACATTCCCATTGTTGGAATCAGACTTAGAATTGTCAGTTGTACTCATATATACAGTTAAACCATCCACTTCACCACAGAGATTCATTAACTTCACTCTGCTTTAATCACAGAGATGGAATGAAATTTAAACAAAGCAAAAGCAGTAACAGCAACAAAAGCAGGATCAAGGACATTTCAAGAAAGCAAGTGTCTGCACACCTGCTGCAGATCACACACAGCCGCATCTAGCCCCTAGTACATCCCATCCATCAGCAGGTCTCTTTGGCTTTCCTTTAAATTTGCCCAGAATTTTAGTTCAAGACATGACCATTTCCTGAAAGTCTCTTAAGTGATCTCCTTTGTTTATCTCAGACCTCCTCCCATCTGCTCTCCACACAGCAGGCAGAACGACACTTCCAAAACGTCACTCAGATCACATCACTCCTTAGCACAGGACCCCTCTGATAGCCTCCATTTTTCTCAGAGCAAAATCTGCATTGATATCCTGGCTCCCAGCGGCCTTCCCCATCACCTCTCACACTCCTCCGCCCTTGCACAGTGCTCTCTGTCCACACTGCATCTATGCTGTTCCTGGAATACTTCAAACATGCTCCCACCTCAGGCTCCTGCACCTCCTCGTTTGTCTTCATTAACCTGGTCCCTTCCCAGGGAGCACCCTCACTTCAACCAGTTCTTTGCTGAAATGTTATGATATTAGACTGTCCCTCCCTGAATATACTATATAAGCCATCTTAAACATGCTCTAGCCTTTGTCACCATTTTTCTTCATGGCAGTTATTGTCCCATGACATTGTGTGTGTGTATAAGTGTGTGTACATATACACCTGTGTGTATCTATGTGTGTGTACATATATAAAGGTGTATATCTATCTATATGTGTATATATCTATGTGTAGGTATACCCACGTGTATATTTATGCTTGTGTATCTATGGGGTGTATTTATGAATGTATCTATGTGTGTGTACATATATACAGGTGTATATATATCCATTTGTGTATGTATCTATGTGTATGTATACTCACATGTATATTTATGTGTGTGTGTCTATGTATGTATGTGTCTATATGTGTGAATATCCGTGTATGTGTATCTCTGTGTGTCGCCATGTGTGTATTTATGTATGTGTGTATTTGTGTGTGTGTAGTCATTTCTCCTAATAGAAATATAATCTCAAAGGGAGCAGGAGCTGTGTTTACTTCACCATTGCATCCCGTGTGTCTAGAACACAGTAGGTGTTAAATATCTGTTGAAGGATAAATAATTTATGATCAGAGCAGAAATCTGAAACACAAAGTTAAATTATCTCCCATGTTAGAAAAAAGAATGTAAATAATTACATGCTGCACTTTAGAATGATGCTTTCATTTAAAATACATTAAAGTTGTTCTAGGGTTTAATACTTAGATACTGTAAAAATTTTTGCACTTCAATATGACTTACTGCCTTGAATGAATTCATGAACAGGTAAGGTTTTATTGCTGGGTGGCAACTATGTTGAATTTCTTTTCATGGGTTAGATTTGCATTTATAAGATTTTTAAATTCTCTGTGCATTGTAAAATATATGATGCTCATGAAGCTTATACGATCACGTAGCCAAAGTAACATGAGGAATAGGTAACAGTTAGTGAAACATGCTATTTCTGGCACTAGTCTAGACCTTTCACCCACCCTATGTTATCTAATTTTCAAGAAGCCTGTGAGGTAGGTGAACTATCATTACCTTCAACATATAAATGAGGAAACTGAGAAACACAGAGTTAAAATATCCTAATCGAGGTCACACATCAACAGTGGCCAGAATACAAAAAGGCAGTTTGTCCATTCTTCTATTCAGCCATCCATTTTTTTAATTAAAAAAACACCTCTTGTGTACTTACAATCTACCAGGAACTGAGTTATGTAACAAGGATGCAAAACAGGGATGCAATCTCTACGGTCATGATGATCCCGGCATAGGACAGAGGAGTGGACCAGCTGTCAGGCTGCCCAAGCTACCAGCTCCACCTGGGGAGACAGAAACCAGGCAGGGAGTCAGTTCCTTCTCCCACTTTGGAGTCCTGTTTCAATGGTGGAGTCATTAAGCATCACAGAATGATCCAAATTCTCTGTTTTCCCTCCCTAGAGTCTTCAACTGAAGTCATAAAAGAAAGGGGCTATTTCAGTCCTAAGTTACCTAAGCGTTAATGTTTGGTTCTGTGGGTGGCCTTGAATTTGTAACTCTGCAGCGTGCCACTCTTGCTTCACTTCATCCAGGTTTTTCTTGACATCTGAAGAGGCAGTATCTCTAGGGAGTGTATTTTTGTATTTCTCCATATGTTGCTTTTTGTCCCCTCACATATATTGCCAATAAGACTTGTGAGTTCCACCACAGGCCAGCTCTGCAACTTATGTTTAGTGTTGGCCTGGAAAGAAATATTATTATTTTCATTGATTCATGTCTTTTCCTCTATTGTAGAAATGATATTTTCTTGCATTTTCCCTCAACAGACTGAGGCATTTTCTTCCATCTTATTTTATCCATATTTCGTACATTGCTCATAGGTTTTTCTCATTCAGGATTATATTTGCTTCTACCTTTTATCAAAAATCTATTTAACAAAGTGCCCTCCCTCCACGTTAATCCTGTAGCTTTTCTTTTGGTTGCTTTTCCTGATACTTTTCATTTTTCCATTCCTGTAGATTAAGGTCATTTTCTGCATATTTGGTTCCTTGCCACAGTCCTCTCCTTCACATCTGGCTACATTGACCTTGGTTTCATCCAGAACATGACTACCACATACTACTGAAACCAGAGGTGCGCTGATGCTGGAGAACTTTTCCTCTTTTTTCTTTCTCTTTCTCTCAGATAGTCACTGTACACTCATATTCAAGTATGCCTATGGAGCACATTTACACTCATCTAACGTTTTCTATGTTTAGAGAATAAATGGCAACAAGGACTATAAGACAGCAAAATGTGGCATCTCTTCAATTCCTTACAACCAAATGGGGAAGAGGAGGATGAGCATACGTGATTTTAAAAAAACATTTAAAAAATTGTAGTAAAATACATGTAACATAACATTCACCACGTTAACCATTAAGTGTCAAATTCAGTGGCATTAACTATATTCACAATGATATACATCCTTCTCTAGAATATTTTTCATCTTGCAGAATTGAAACTCTTTACCCATTAAACAGTAACTACTCCTTTTCCCTCTCCCAAGTTCCCAGCAATCAGCATTCTATTTTTGGACTCTACAAATTCCACTACTCTATGTTCCTCGTGAAAATGGTATCATATAGTATTTGTCATTTTGTGACTGGCTTATTCACTTAGCATAATGTCCTCAAGGTTCATCTATGTTGTTGCATGTATCAGAATTTCCTTCCGGGACAGGTGCAGTGTTTCATACCTGTAATCCCTGCACTTTGGGAGATCGAAGCAAGAGGATCACTTTAGCCCGGGAGTTCAAGGCTGCAGTGAGCTATGATTGCACTACTGCACTCCATCCTGGGAAAAAAATGCAAGACCCTGTCTCAAAATTTTTTTCCCCTCCTTTTAAAGACTGAATGATATTCCATTGTATGTGTATATTAAATTTTACATATTTATTTGTCCATTGATGGACACTTTTGCTTCTGTCTTTTGGTTATTGTGAATAATGCTGCTATGAACGTGGGCATACCAATATCTGTTCAGATCATGAGTAATTCTAAAGCTCAAAGTCACAGAATGATAATAACATACATACACCATGAGAACTTATAGCCATATAGCAGTGCTAAGTGTACTGTGAGGATCGCTGAAGTCAAGTGAGAACTTCATAGAAGAAGGAATTTTTGAGCAGCACTTTCAAGGTACCATGAGATAAGATTTGAAGGCAAAGAGAGAGGGAGGGCACTTGGCATATTTGTACTGTGCATATAAAAATCACAAAAGTTGAGAAATAAATGATGTAGAGAGTGGAGCAGGGATGGATGTTCTCTAGGCTAGATTAGACAGTACTGGCCTGAATAGATGAGAAGAATGCTAGTGAGATGATGTAAAATATTAATAACCATGATTTTTTTATTATTATTTTTTGAGATGGTGTCTCGCTCTTGTCGCCCAGGCTGGAGTGCAGTGGCATGATCTTGGCTCACTGCAACCTCCGCCTCCCAGGTTCAAGCAATTTTCCTGCCTCAGCCTCCTGAGTAGCTGGGATTACAGGCACCAGCCACCATGCTAATTTTTGTGTTTTTAGTAGAGATGGGGGTTTCTCCATGTTGGTCAGGCTGGTCTTGAACTCCTGACCTCAGGTGATCCGCCAGCCTTGGCCTCCCAAAGCACTGAGATTAAAGGTGTGAGCCACTGTGCCTGGCCAATGACCATGGTTTTAAAGTTTTCACAGAGCAATCACTACAATGAAGCTGTTGTGAATTTCTCAGAAATAAAGAGGCATCCACCAGACTGTATGTCCCATAAGGGCAGGCCTGAAGAAGTTTGCTTTGCCCACGACTAACCCAGGGCTGATCACAGCTCTTGCACTGGCAGGTGCTCAGTAAATATATGTTAAACACATGAATGAATACACAAACTGCCAAGGAGGATTGCCACTGTGAAGATGGGCTAAAATTGAGAAAGCTGGCGTTGCAGGTTTTATTGGAAGGAATCAGCCCTCATTGGAATAGCTGAAAGAAATAACAAAGGTATTGGATCTGAAATACTTTAAGGAGGAAGAATCTTTCAGACAAAGCCACTAGAATTCCTTGGCTACAATTTTGTTTATACCTGTTGTCAATACCTGTGTTAGTCTGTCCTATGTTACTCTAATTTTTTTTATAACTGATGAGTATTTTCATAGATGTTAATTGTTTTCCCCTCTACTCTAGATATGTTCTTAACAGCTAATTCTGTTTTACAAGGCTCACTTTTGGTCAGTATTTTCTTGTTAAGGTAATCGTAATTCTAAGGATACAGAAACACAAACATGATCCTAATTAACAGATATGCAAATTGTTTTAGACTGCTTTTCCCTCTTATAGGGAGAAAAAAATCAATATATTCATTAATTATCTTTTGCTTATCTGTAGGTAAGAGATTTTTTTAAAAAAATCATTTTCACCTAACTTTGTGATGATATGCCCGCAAGAAATGAACGCCTACTGGCATTGTACAAGTATCAAACATTGGGACTGGATAGTCTTATACGAAGCAAGGGAAGAAGTCTCCATTTGCACATTGAAACACCTCGACTGAAGTCACTGAGTCTACCTTGTGCAATCTGAGTCCTAAATGGAGGAGGATCCATGGGATCCGTCTGTGAATTGCTCTGTGAAAACTTTAAAATTATGCTCATCGGCCAGGCATGGTCGCTCACACCCGTAATCTCAGCACTTTGGGAGGCTGAGGCTGGTGGATCACCTGAGGTCAAGAGTTCACGGCCAGCCTGACCAACACGGAGGAAGGATGAAGCAGGGGTGGATCCCATAGCAGGGATGAAGGCATTACGTTTCCTATTGCTGACTGTTGTTCCCTGCAATGGCTCACACCATGGCATTTTTGGTGAGGAAACTGCAAAGCTTCTGTATGCTAGATTCAAGATACAAAACAAGCGGTTGTATTTTAGAGTGGAGAACAAAGATGTGTGATGTAATCGCACAAGGAGCTGGAGTGAAATGCAGCCTCGCTGACGGGATGGGGGCACCGCCAGCAGCCTGGCATTCTGTGCCTGGTAGCAGACGTCATGTACATGCTCCCAAGTCACAGCCATGGGCACAAGGGGGACCCTGAAGGCGCCTTTCCACAGTTATTATTCGAGAGCTGTTTTCTTTAGGTGTTTGTGAAAGGTCAGCATCTGATCTAATTCCGCCCACAGTTACACAGTTATAGTTTCCTTGACTGCATTTGTCACTCTTTCAGCATCATCTGACATTCTATCTGCTTGCCAGTTTTCTTGCTAATTCTTTTTGGAAAACTATTTTTTCCCCAAATTTGTCATTTTACTTAAAAAAGACATCACAAAAGGGTCTTCTGTGCTATTGAGTTGTCTGATTTTTTGGCAATTCCTATTGGAAAAATCTCACATAAACCACTTCCCTGATGAGAAAAATCATTTATTTAATCCTTATCCGACGTTTTTAACCATTTCTGAACAATTATGAAACAATGAAAGATGACTTTCAATGAATGAAAACAATGAAAGATGAAAGACGACTTCATCAAATTAATAAGTGATTACATTAAAATGTTTTAGAGAATCTGCAGTAATATATCCTTCTGACAACACAATAATACATCCTTCTGACGATATTGACTTGAGGCTGAGAGGGCAGAGAGCAGGGATGAAGGCATGACAGTCCCAATGCTGAATGAACAAAATGCACAGGAAACCAGCAGACACTGGGCTGGGTGCCAGGGTTCACAAGCGGCCTCCCCAGACCAAGTTTGGGGGAATTGATCAGAATTGGCTTGTCAACTGTCTTAGCCACATTAGCTACCATTCTGCTCAAGGCACCAGGTCCGGCTAGATGGTACCTGGAAGTCTCTTCTCTATAATTCTGTGAGGCTCTTGGTTTTTATATTCCTAGTTGAATGAGATTATGCCCTTGACTCCGAGCCTACTTTCCTGAGGGATATTACCTCTTGTGTCTCTCTGGGCTTTCTTCCTGATCAGATAGTGTAGGAAATAGTGTTTTGAAATTGATAAAATGCTGCACAAATGTTAGAGCTTATTAGGTTATGTAGGAGGATAATCTCTCATTTTGGCATAAATCTGTGGCAAACTTTCTACCATTGGTTTATAAACTTTCAGACTTGAACTGTTGAGTACCTGGCGAAAAATTATTTCTGATATTTATGTCTTTCTTTCTTTGAAGACCAAGGTTCTAGTCTATTTCTTTGCCACTTTGTAACTGTGGGGAAACTGCAACTGCTGGATTTGGGTCTTCACGTATATCTTTTACATTTCCTCTCTTGAACCTGGGAGGCGGAGGTTGCAGTGAGCCGAGACCGCACCATTGCATTCCAGCCTGGGTAA